TCTGTACAGACAAATTAAAAGCTCTTTTATCGCATATTATTAGCCTCAGGGTATACAATCAAAATCAAACTACTACCTTAACATCTACATTAGAGTGGGGTGGTATTTTTATATTTTTAAAGCTCTGTTGTCAGCTATTATGTCACTATATAATCAGAGATATCTAAGCAGAAACAAAACTTCCTTTGAATTTGAACCAGCAGTGCCACAGGCATGCCAAAGGCACTACCAACATTAAGAACATTACTGTTTTAACCAAATACCTAGTTTGACAAATGTACTGCTGAAACAAGTCATAATATTAATACATATATGATGACCTTATAACCCCTCTGTTTTTCTAATTGACTAATTAGCTAAAATAAGTTTAAGATGATATTGCCTTCCACTATTATCACAGCAAGGGGCAGGAAGAATATTTTTAGTCCACCCGTCAACATATGATCCAGGGCAGCATACAATACAATAAAGCATCAAAACAAGCAGTAAAATAATGCTACAATAAAACAAATCCAGCTTAATTTATAAAAGCAAAATAAAAATACAGCATGTCATTAAGATCACTCAGGGAGTCACAATTTCCCCTCCCCCTATTGCAAAACTGACGAAATTCCTAGTACAGTTTTAAGGACCAGGTAGAATGTGATTCTAAAAACATGCAGTTACAACAAGGCCTCTTACAGATGTAAAGATCTAGAGTGAACATCAGGTACTGTTACTTCATAATCATTTTTAAAGCTTTATTGATAGACAGAATGTTGTACAATCTTCATCTAAATATTGTCTTCACAACTGAGCAGCAGAGGGGAAAACCTGCCCAAGTCTACCTCTGAAAAGCTAGGAAAGTTTTCCAGATCTAGCTCCCCAACTCCATCCCCTGGCCTGTGGGGCTTCCAACTACCAATGCAGAACAGCAAAAGCCTCATGCAAGTTGTCCTGAATGATTCTACTTTTATCAATGTCAGTGGCAATGAAGCAATTTTTTAAAATTCAGCACTGCTTGTCTACAACTACATCAGTGTTCTTATACTACATAGTATTTCTGCTTCATGCACAAATGATGCAGAAGAATCCTGTTTGTGTTAAAAGAAGCTTGAATAAGATTGATAATAACTAGCAATTTCAATTAAAAACAAATGAATTAAGGATATCAGATGATTAAATATTTAATTGATTAACCAGCTTTATTTAAAAAATTAAAATAAATGCTTATATTGCTCCTAAGAATTCAAATATTATTTATTCAACAAAGTAACAACTTACATACAATTAATAAATGAGCTGCACCACTCATGGTTGAGATGTCACAAAAGGCCAACTTTTATATTTTATTTTTCATTTCCTTTTACATTAAAACAAAGAACAAAAATACTTTCTAACAATAAGCAAATGTGCCCTTAATCATTGGCTTCAACTATTAAAATCTGCCCTCACCAAATAAACCTTTTAATGGTTGCAGCTTACAGTATCTGATGCTAAACCACCAACCAGAAGAAATAAATGCTGTCAAAACGAATGAAGATACGTTTGAAAACACTGCCACCTACTGGCAGTAAAAAAACAGGGTAAAAAAGGAAGTCACACAATATACCAACTCATAGGCTTCTAGAAGTCTTTCAGAGCATTCACGTGATCTTTTGGCATCAAAAGACCAGACAGTTCCCCCTGCCTACCTATTTAATCTGAATTTGCCTTTGCCATAGAAAATATGATTCATAACATCATAAAATATGTGTATTTGTAAATCCAGTGTGGATGAACCTGGTATCTCATCTCAGACTTTGTATAGCTTCACATTACTGTTTGGTCTGCATCCAGTGCACTCCCACAACATTAGCGGCAATGCATATCAATCCTGTAGTTTCTTGACAATAATGCAGTATTTTCCTCAAACCAGCTTCTTCAGCTTTCCTCTAGAAAACTGGATGTGAAATGAACAGTAATGTGAAGATTTGATGAGTGTGCGTGTGCAGATGGCAGCTTCAGTTCTGGAGGGGTTACAGGAGGGTCATGCACACTGGGTGAAGACACCCCCATCCACTCTATGATGTGAACAACATTCTGCAAATGCAGCTTGAAATGTAGTGGGGGGGGTGACCTTGCTGCTAATGTGACACGTTTTGCATTGTAGCTTCTTTTTTAGGAGGGCTAGAGACTAAGGGAGGAATTTGATGCTGTGCTAATTTGATGGTTCTGTCAGCACACACATTTCTGTTTGCCCGATGGAATGATCTCTCAATCTCCTTCCCCCATTTTCTATTCTGGGGGTTCTTAAAGGTAAAAGTAAAGGGACCCCTGACCATTAGGTCCAGTGGCGGATGACTCTGGGGTTGCAGCGCTCATCTCGCTTTACTAGCTGAGGAAGCCGGCATACAGCTTCCGGGTCATGTGGCCAGCATGACCAAGCTGCTTCTGGTGAACCAGAGCAGCGCACGGAAACGCCGTTTACCTTCCCGCCAGAGCGGTACCTATTTATCTACTTGCACTTTGATGTGCTTTCGAACTGCTAGGTTGGCAGGAGCAGGGACTGAGCAACAGGAGCTCACCCCGTAGCGGGGATTCAAACCGCCAACCTTCTGATTGGCAAGCCCTAGGCTCTATGGTTTAACCCACAGCGCCACCCGCGTCCCCTCCTGGGGGTTCTTACTCCACTCCAAATAGATCTGGATGGCATGGATAAGAGGGGCAAGTCCCCCTGCACTGCTGCCTGCTAGTGCAACTACTTAGCTGAATCAAGCCCTTACTTTTTAAAAAGAAAAAAGAAAGGCCAGAGTCTGGGCATCTGTCCAGGGTGCCAATGAAAGTCTTTGCAGGCACCTGGGCACCCTTGGGTGTCAGGTTGGTGATCCCCAGGTTGGCTACCCCTGTTCCACATAATGTGTAATTAGAGTTTAGAACAATTGCTAGAAGGCACTGAGCATGATACTGATGAATAATTGACCATTTATTGATACGGAAGAAATGCAGAAGAGAAATCTAGTGCAGTGTTTCCCAACCGGTGTTCCGCGGCACACGAGTGTGCCGTGAGACGTTGCCTCGTGTGCCGCGAGATGCCTGGAGGGAGGCGGGTGAGTCGGGCGGCGAGAGGCGGGGCGGCGGCGGCGAGGAGAGGAGGCCGCGCCTCCTGCTGCTGCCTGGCGCTCCTCCTCGCAGCCGGCAGCGCTGCCTGGGCGCCTCCGCGCGACTCTGCCTCGCTGGGTTTGGTCTCCCAGCAGAGACGGGTCACACGCGCCCCTCCCTCCCTCCCTCAGCCTGCGCGGAGGGAGAGCCAGAGAGAGGCATCGCTCCTGCGCGGCGGGAGAGGGAGCAGCCGGAGCGATGCCCCAAACGAACGCATGGGACCGGAGGGGAAATCCTCTCCGAGGAGGATTGAGCGCAGCTGAGAGAAGCCTTTCGAGGAGCTGCCGTGTCCCCTGGAAACCCCCTTCCCAGCTCTGCCTCAGCCGCCGCCGCCTCAGTTGCCGCCGTCCCTCAGTCCTTCGCTCTGCTGCCTCCTCCCACCCCCAAAGCTTGGAGGTTCCCCAGCAAGGGGGAGGGAAAAAACTTTCACTTTTGTGCGTCCCTCCCGGCGTGACGCTGCGCGCTGACGTCACGGGGCGGGGCTTTAATGGTGGTGTGCCGCGAGATTTTTTTTCAGTAAACAGGTGTGCCGTTGCCCAAAAACGTTTGGGAAACACTGATCTAGTGGTTTAAAACAAAGCCGTTGAATTTTATTCCTCAGAGCACCAAGTAGTCCTCAAAAGTTTTTTTGTTTAGAAAAGAGGAAAGGATAGAATAGAGATAGTTGTATCACTCCTGGATATAAAAATGCTGGGAAAGTGCTGTATTTTAGGGTTTTTTCAATTGAGTACCTGGGTTCAAAATAATTCAACAACTCTTTATTTACACCCTGGTTTTCTACAGGAGTATCCAAAGCAGCTTAGAAGAATACTATGTAGCTCAGGTGGTGGTAAGACATCTGTCAGCAGAACAGGGAGGGAAACAATTTTTATCGGTGGTTGCAAGAAGCAATGATCCCTATATTCTGAACAAAATGCTTGTTTAACCTGGAGGTAGGCTGTATGAATTGTGTGTTGCTTTGTAACGATTTGTTGGGTCTCTGGACCGTAATAAAGATTGATTGATTGATTGATTGAATGAATTTTTAGCAATTTCCCCCTCTGCAGTCCTCCACAGTCCTCCTACATCTGCTCTGGAGGGCCCCTCAACCCTCTGGAGCAGACCTAAGGGGCATGGGAGCTGCAAGGGCAAGGAAAATAACCAAATCTGATCTCTGGATTCCTCCTCCATCCCTTAGAAGCAATCAAAAATAAACTTCTTGAAATAAACTGAGAAGCTCTTTCTCTAGTCTGGACAATGGGTGTTTCACTCCAGCCTTCTCTTTGTCTAATTAGCTAGATCTGCTTTCCTAACTGTCAGTCATTGCTATCATATCATTCATTGGCTAAACACATTGAAAGGTGAGCACAAGCTACTTTTCCACAAAACAAACGGGAAGAATAGTACAGTGGTCTCTGTTGTGCATGTGTCCTATGGGTTCTGGGCTGTACCCTATATTTTTGTCCTGGCATTAAGAAAACAAACCTCAGTGAAATATGGAGGGGGTGATAATTTTCAGTTTTTAAAACATTGCAAACAGCCTCAGTTTACACCTACATAAGACATTGTGGGTAAAATTCAGGGCACACATCATATTGAAATACAGTAAACAGAAGTTGAATGTGATAGCAGCATTTAAGTACTTGGGTTTAAGATCAGTTGAAAATTTTGTCCTGGCATTAAGAAAGCAAACCTCAGTGAAATATTGGGGGGGGGATTGTGATAATTTTCAGTCAGTTTACACCTACATTAGACATTGTGGGTGAAATTCAGGGCACACATCATATTGAAATAAACAGAAGTTGCATGTGATAGCAACATTTATGTACTTGGGTTTGAAATCAGTTGAAAATTGGTGATCCAAATGCACAAACACATATTGGGCTACTAAAGTTTCTTACCTGTTGTCGTTTGAATGCCAAATGGTCCAGCTTTTTCAACTCTTTCTGGAGGTTTTTATATGTTTTCTGCAGTTCAGATTTACTTGATGCATTTTGAAGACACACAAATGTCCTTTGAACCTATGGTCAAACAAGGAGGGGGGGTTAAATATTATTTTAAAATCTTCCGTGCTTAATTAGGAATAGGCTCAGAAAGAATAAGCTAAATTGGGATCTATTTGCTTTGACACCAGGTCTAGCCACACTATTGGGAACATGACGGTGCCTCTTGGTGGCTTCCCCTCTGTACCCTCAACCCAAACAGGAGCTACCCCTCACTGGGGCACCTGGTAAGGTCTGTCCCTTTTCCCCAAAAATACCTGTTAGTGGCAAGAAAGATATTAGGTGGTGGTAGCACCACTATGGATATCAAGATCCCTGGGAAATTTAGTTCTCTGGGTTTCTGTTGCTGTTTTCCAGGTGAAATGGAAGAGGGCAGCTGCTTTGGTGAGGATAGCTAGACTGGGGCTGGGTCCAAACTAACTGAGCTTGAATTTCAGAGGAGCTTGGGCTTGGCTTATAAATAAGTAAACTCGGGAATTCAAACATCATCTGCATTGATACACAATTATTATTTCATATATGTTTTTGTATGAGCAAGACATGCATGCTTTGTCTCACGAGATTCATACTTTAAATTCAATTCCCATTTCATTGTCCGAAAATGTTTTCTTGACCTTGAGGTAAATTAGGGCATGCAGCCCTAGTTTACAGAATTAATGTTTGGACGAGTCATTTTGATGAAAAACTATTTTTCCCCATTTGCATCCATCAATGATTCAGTTTATTCGTGCACATTATGCCTGAACTAACTTTCAATTAAGAGAGATGGGTGGTTTTGCAATTAAACTTTGTTCAATGCTTTTATTTACTAAAGCTTTTCTTTCACATTTAAGAAACACCTGTTGGATGTGCAATGCTCAAACAAGGGATTCCAGAGTATTCCCCATGTGTCTCGGTATCTGCTACTGGAACATAAAAAGCCTTTAGCTCTCAGCTGCTTTAAATGCATCAAATCATTAATTGCTGAGAAATTCACAGTTACTATGGTTACAAACACAAACTGGAAGAGAAATGTTACAGAGTGTACAATGATACGAAAAGAGAACGAGCCCATGGATTGCAGTTAGTATATACTGGTCCCACATTATGGATCAGAAACTAGGTTAAGTCATAGATGTATTCAGACAAACGTTTTAACTCAGATGCTGTCCATCCACACTGCATTGCTTTAAATGGAATACACATTCAGGTATGCAATCTTTTTTAAGCCATGCACAGGGCCAGATTTAGGTTTGATGAGGCCCTAAGCTACTGGAGATAATGGGGCCCTTTATATGTCTAGCTGTCCTTTGTCAAAAACAAATATGCAAACATCAGCATGACATCAGGAACAATGTCAGTGCTCGACACTCCTGTGCTACCAGGTTCTTTATTTTAAGGTGGTGTGTACTTATGGGACATAAAGGTCCAACAAGAGAGCAAGAATGAAGATACAAAAAAGTTCTTAGACTATGAAGTGGAACAGAACAGTTGGGTACTGACATCACTCTCACTAACTATACAGACTTTACAGACACTGGACTATAGAAAAGATTGTATGGCATGCCACCATTTTTATAGTGCTTGCTATAGACTAGTATCAGAAGTTGCATGATAGATTTCCTGCCTACTATTTAGATTGACTTTGATCACATTTCATTTTATATTACCTGATGTCATATATAATTAAAACCACTATGCCTAGGAGTGAGGGTCTCACCTTAGCAAGGAGACACAGGTGTTACAGTGCTTCAAAAACCACTTCCTAACCTAATTCTCATGAGCAATGGGCACTTTTGTAGAAACTGCATGATGTGAATTTTAATAATCCTCCACAATATAGCTATTCTATACAGTATCATTTCATGCACTGCACGCCCCAGACCAGACAGTATGTCTCTGACACTAAAACGATAAAATGCTGTGCCAAAACCCATTTATGGATTTGGCCCCCTTCTCCCACCATTTTATACATTTAACAAATCTCTTACTTGGTCAGCAGTTTCATTTCGTAGTGAATGACATAACCTTTAAAATTAATTTCGGTTCAGTGATCAAACACCTATTTTATTCTATGAAAATTAGAAAACCTTGGAGCAATGGAACTGGAAAGGAAAGAACCTCTTCATCTGCTCTCATATGATTAATGGACAAACCTTAACAGCCAAAATCCTCATGAAGGAATAGTACAATATGTCAGCATTGCCACTATAGAAGAACACATTCCGGGGAAGCTTTATAGACATATATTTAAACAAGATTGCCTTTTTAATTGACGTGAACTAGCAAACATTCTGAGAAGGGTTGCTCTCAGTGCTGCACAACTGTATCTAAGGTACTGCAGAAGTTCAAATGCCTTTTCTTGGATCAGTTCCATAGTTAAGAATATTTCAATTACCTGAGGGAGCTCTAAAATATAATAATGAAAGTTAAAAGACTTTGGATAGAAAAAAGCAAAGTCAGAACTCATTACAGATTTCAGTTGTATTAGAATTTGGCCCTGGATGGCAGTGACCAAAATGCTATTAGCGCTTGATGGCTATTCAACAGCATATGTTAAAGTTACCTGGTCATCTCAGTCTATTTTCTAATTAATGTGACAACATAAAAAAGAAATGCTTTTGGCAGATGCAGTATGATGAACAAGCACTGCAAAGCAATGAAAAATATACTACTACTTCCACAGAACAGAACTGAGGAATATGCTGGGCACTGTAGAGGAAGATTATACAGCTGTCTAATATGCTCTGTAGGGAGAGAAAATCATTCTTTACTGATGGTTTGTTTTCCATGAATACTACATTTTTAGAAAATAGAAAGGAGACAATTATAGTATTCTTTGGTATATGCTCCATATTTCTGAAATATTCAACAGCACACTTGTGTGGTTTTCAATCATTTTAGCAATTTCTAACAATTCACACAATAAAGTAACCAGAAAAGTTTCAGAAGTACTGAAAGTACCCACAAGATGATTACTTAAGATTGGTTATTACTGCTATATGAAGCATTGTGGCAAGTCAAATTTCAGAACTCTGACAGAGGTTAGATATAAAAAAACATAGTGGGCTAAATAAATAATAATAATATAAGGCTCAACAGAAAAAAACAACATTCTGTCCCTGCTCTGCAGAATATTGTGGATTATAAATAAAAATATGTAATTTTTTTATTAAAAAAACTGAACTGTTTCACTCACAGTGCCTGTATAAACTAACATATGCTATTAAAATAGGACACTGGTCTTCCTCAGTGACCTCCAATCACAGATGCACCACTGCGCTATGTTCTACATGTAGCTGCTTCAGTGACTGCTTGGAAACTGCTACCTGCCTTTCAACAGAAATAGTCTGCATACACATTTCACACCCACCCACCAATAATCCTGGAAACTGTAGTTTAAGGGTGCTGGGAATTGTAGTTCTGTAAGAAGTAAGCTGCAGTTCCCAGGATTCAAGGGGGTGCGTGCTTGAAATGTACAGTTTGTCCACAGACACAGCATGCATATAAGGGAATAGAATTTCAGCTCTGATCCCATTGTGGAAATGCCTTCTCCGCATTTTGGCTACATATATCATCTCTCCCCCTCTTCCAAGATTAGTCGCTATGGAAATCAGTTCTTCCAGTTCACAACTGAATGGACAATGCACAGGTAAATGGTGTTGGGATGGGAGAACGGGGGAGCATGATGCGTACTGTCACTATTTTTCCTAAAAATAAAGCACTGCTTAGGATGTTAAAATACTGCAGTGAGGTCACACAGAGGAGGACACACATTAGCAGGTCTCCAAAACTCAATCTTAAAAGCCTTTAGAAGTAAATGTATTTGTGTAAAGAAAAGACATTGAGGAAGGAATGCTGCCTTGATGTCTAATTTCATTGATACTATGGTGGTATATTATTCAATTGACATTGTTATTATGCACATTTCAGCTTTTTAAAATTAGATTAATGAGTTTACTGATTTTTCTGAACTAAACTTTTGTTTGGATAGAAAGTCAGTCTACAAGATTTAAAACAAAGCAAAAACTAAATACTTGCAGAAATCTTTCAAAAGAAAGCGGGAAACAGCTAATAAAAAATAACAAAAACAGTAGGTGCTCATTTATGAGGCATTTCTGTATTACCATCCATACACAGCATCCCAAACCATTCATTATATTACAGATTACATAAAATACACATTATTACAAAACCTGAATGTCATATGAAGGTAAATGTATGTGCATACCATGTAATCCTGTCTTCTGAGCCTAAGGTGAAAAACTGCGTCTAGATAACCTGGATTTGAGCCCATGCCTCTTAGGAAGGCCAATATCTTTCTTTTCTACCTTCTCTAAAGTGGGAGTGGTGGCAACAGGATTGGTGTTAAGATGCATGCTGTACAGAAATGTTGTTATATAAAACAAGAGCACAGCAAAAGCATTATAAGTGTTTCTTGCCCCTTAGAGATGCCATATGCTGCTCATAAAAATGAAACATTTGCCCTGATCTATCTGCTAGTAAGTCCCAATAGAATCAAATGAAACTAGTTAGCCATGACTAACTTAAGTCTCATGGATTTCAATGGAACTAGAGCATAGTTAACTTTGGTTAGAGTTGAGCCATGGCTTGGTTGTTGCTTTTGAAAACAAAAACAAAACAAAAAACCTCCCATTTCTAAAGATTTTTTTGTTCATTTATTTTTAGGAATTCTATACAGCCTATTCAAAGCAAACTGAACAAAATACTTTACCAGAAGAAAAATAACGGAAATAAATATAGTGCAATAACCACATATTATAACTAAGAACAACACCATAAACTCATACCAACAGCTAAAATCATCCACAGCCAAGGTCATAAAGACTGGAGGGGTAGGGACCAATAGTAAGGTGCTATAAAAATTAAAAAGAGGAATTAATACCAGTTCTGTCTGAAAGTCCGAATTAGCCCCAGGTCAGTTTAAAAAATAAAAAGTCTAACTCCCAACACATTTGATATAATGGAATTTGCAGGTTGAGCAGCAATGATTCAAAATCCAATCCTTTCCTTCATCAGTAGCAAGCTCCATGGCTTACCAACATGAATTTGAATTTACTGACATGTTCCGTTTTTTGTATATTTGTATTTCCAGTTATCTGGATTTCCATGCTTTGAATGATTGTTGTAAGCTGCTTTGGACACAGCTCATTGTGGAAAAGCTGCATATAAATAAACTCAACCAATGAATGAATATTTTAATTATTTACTAAAAAAAATCTGAAAATTAAGAAAGCTTGGTAGCCAAGAATATGGGAAAGGTCATTTGCTGACCACAGTAGCTACTTACCGTGGTTAGATGTTGCAACAGGTATGAGACATCAATCATATCTGCCAGAATAAGAAGCCTTGTAACAGCAGCCAGAAGAGCACGTGCTACTTGGACAACGGCCTCCCTTTTAGGCAAATAACAAGGATCATCTGTGAATTTTTTTGCAGCTACCCTTAAAGCTTCACCTGTAAAATAAAGATACACGTAATGCTGCAGTCCATAAGCAAATTCATCTGCTTTCCTTCGGACCACATCAGTGAGGCCAAGAGGGGGTTCTTCTCGTCCAGGCACCCCAAGACCTCCACACTGCCCAGGCTTGCGGCCCAGGGAGCTCACTTCGGTGCTGCTTGTGCAGCTGTTGGCTTCACCCCCAGATAGATGCTTCAGATTTACAGAGATTGACAGATAGATGCTTCAGATTTACAGAGATGTGGAGTTGAAAGGAAATAGTTCACCTTTGTGAAAAGTTTTCTCTTTTTTGCATTATTTATTAGGGGAAACAATAACTAAGGCAGGGAAGCTTAAAATTACATGACAATGTATTCATTTACGTGCTACAATATACCACTATCTACCTATGCATCATGCCAATTATTGCTTTTTAATATAGGATATTATTTATATATCATTCTGTGTTATAGTTTATAAAGACCAGAACAAAAGGCAGCACAATGCAACTTTGCAATATTGTGTAGTTTTAGAGCCATCCACTTTACAGTCACTGTGTACTTACTCCAAATGAACTGTTGGTCTAGTACAACTTGTTCATTTTGCATTCTGGGGCTGTTTCAACACAATACCATAGAATCTCCAAATCTTGCAGTGTGGCTGCATACCACTGGGAACAATTGCTAATCAGTTCACTGTGGAGTGTACCCAAGTCAACCACAGGTTGTTTCCTGTTAAATTTTTTAGCATGTACAATACATTAACATACAAAGCAACTGTCAATCTGGGAGAGAAAGGCTGACAGATGCCAGGTCTGGGCATACGGCAGGGGTAAATCTTTATGACCCGCTGGTTCCTTCCAGCATTACAGTTCTGGCGACATTAATTTGTTTTATAACTGCTTTGCATCACCAACGCCAAGAGCAAAAATGAAACCATCCCTATTTCCTTCAGAAAACTCTCTTTTTTAACTGGAGTGTTTCACAAGAATAAAAAGAAAGAAGAATCAATACATTAGACTGTTTTCAAGTTGTATCTCCCTAGCCAAGAAAGACATACTGAGACTGCTGGCTGCAGCTTTGAAGAATTGCTACAGTGGAGCTAATAGATTTGTTGGGCACAGGAAAAAAACGTTACTGAATTCAGGGAAAGGGGAAAATGGGACAAGGGAGAACCGATTGGCAAAGAGAATTTATTACTGCAAGGCAGACTGAAAAAGGGAAGTGGGAAAAAATGTGAAGGAAAGCAGGAAAAGAACTGATTGATTAATTCTGCATGTAAAATAGCAGCGCTTTGATGATCCAAGAATGAATGATAAGGGACAGACGAATTTAGATTGGAGATTAAAACAGCATTAAGTTTTCCAGGGGAGGGGGCATGAAATGAAAAGGCCACATGCCCAAGCAGAAGTTGTCATGAATAGAAAGAGAAAGAGAATAGAAAGAGGAGAAACACACACCCTTCAACAAAGCAAGACTCAACAAGTTTCCCACAAGCACAACCAGGCAACCTTCCTATCAAAGCCCAAGGAGCAGTACAATAGCAACTGTGATAAGATGTTCACATTCCACTTTTCCACATGCACCCAAACTCATCTTTGTGGGGGAAGGAGAGCGCTACTGTACAGCCCTATCATGTACAGGAATGAAAAAGACCACACTAAATTCTGTGATCCGCTGTCACCCCTGTTCTTTGTTTTGAATTCCAATTCATTCCTGCTTTCTGTCCAGCACTCCACTTGAGCCCTGATTAGACCTTATGGCTGAACTGGAAATAACAATTCAAGTTGGGAGCTTGGGGCCTTGCTGGTCCAACCCTCAACATCCCAAAACCTATCTGCCTGATGTTCCCATGTTGTGCAGGGAAGGTTTGAAGGGGGCTTCTAATCATATGCACTCAGGGCTCCTGATTGTATGGAGGCTTCTGCTCACATCTTCCCTACTCAACATGAAAAGGGGTGTGAGAGAGAGGCAGTCATACGCAGTGGGGGTGAGGCACTCATATACAAGGAAGTTGGGGTGGGGCAGCACATACAATCCCCTGCCTCCTATATGCAAGCAAATGACCTATTGCTTGGCCAAACTTTGATATTTTCTTATACCAAAAATTATACTTTGTTTAATGAGATACAAGTCTTCCTACAACTGGATCTAGAGAGAAATCTGATTATCAGGAGTGATACTACCATGAGGCAGAATGAGACAATTACCAGAGGCAGCAGAGGTGGCCCAGGCCCCATGCTCACTTGCCTCAATGACACCCACCCAGTTGCTGCATCATCCTCAAAGTCATCCCCTTGCCTTTCTACTCTCTTCCACTGCTGTGGCCCCTGCTCATCTGCCTCTCCGTTGCTCCAATTACTGACTAACTGCTGTTTTGCCACTGCAAGTGTTGAAGCAGTGCTGGCGGTCTTCCAGACTCACTCTGAGGAAAATCCAGGGATCTTTCCTCAGACAAACACGTTCTGGGCAAACTGGCACAGAAGGGTGCTTGTGCTGCCACCGCTGCACCATGATAGTTAAGCTTTTTTTTAAAAAAAAGTGAACTAAGCGTAACTTTAAAGGTCATTATCTAGGCCTTGCTGCAGAGGGGCACTGGCTGCTGTTGGCCGTTCAAACTTTCAGTGGAATTCAGTGCCTGGAATTTAAGCCTTCAATCTATATCCTCCCTTACTTGTTCTGGCCTTCATCTCCCCTTCCCTCTAGACATCTGCTTTTAGCTGCCACTCTGAGAAAGCTAGGCTGAAAGCAATGGGCATTCCTTTCTCCTCCCACAAAGAGTTATAAAAGCTTGCTCCTTCTGCCAGGAATAGTCACCCACTCTGAAACCCTCAGGTTGCCAGCTCTAATTTTCCAGAGCAACATTAGCAATAATGTTCACTAGCTGAAGTTTCTAGGGGAGATTTGACCATTACGCATGACCTTAAATTTGACTTATATAGCTGTACACTTAGTTTAAAACACCCTCAACCTGCTTTTACTATTTCTGTAGCATATTGCCCTGAAGTATTTGGTCTACATTCTTCTTTTACTTCACCTTGAACCACTTTGGCATGATAAAAAAGGAGAAAATGTATGCCACAAGCTGTTATTTTTGATGCAAGGGTATACCTTTAGCCCGTTGTCCTTCCCTACTGTTGTAATTATTGGAACAAACAAGACAAGCCTTTTTTGTTGCTATATGCAAAGCCACCTACAAGTCTGATCAAACTCAGGACTGTGGAAGTTTCTCTCACAGAAAAAACAAATAAACACACTACTCTATGCAGCTGCTATTTGCATTTCAAGGGAGTCTCCCATTGGCAGTGATTGAACCTTCCCTCAAAACACCAACGACAAAATGCAAAAAGAAAGGCGTTGGGAGAGAAGCAGACATAAAGAACTAGACTCCCCCTTCCTAAACCTATGCATTTTACTGCATGTTATGGGCATATTTTCGTCACATAAATAGTTTCCCTGTGCCTACTTACATAACAAAAACATGCACATTAATTGCATTCATGCAATTAGCACTTTATCTAGTTTGGCCCTCAGTCACAAATGGAGAGGGGGCTTTGCTTTGAAAAGGCAGTTGCTCTCTAGAGAAGGTTATTTGATGATATCTGAAAGAGAGATACAGTTTAGAGATTATGAGATTTTGTGTCTGGCTGAGCCAATCACAACAGGTCTCAAGTGTTGATTACTGAAGTGGGTGATTAGCAATTCTAATTCTAATATTTAATTTGTAGAATATTTAAACATGCATCAATGGTGTGATTGGCTGATAACTCATCTGTGCAAACAATAATAAACTTAATGAATTAAAATAATTATTTTAAAGTCTTTTACAAATTTGATTTAGGCAAACAGTAAATGATACCAAGTACCAATTAATCCCAAAAGAGAACAGGCAGATTTGTCCTAAAATTGCTATTGCTGACCACTGATTACCAAAACTATCTTTAACATGTGCCCACAACTTGTACAACCTTTTGATATTTACTAAAGGCAAATAGAAGCAGCATGCAGTGGCAAACATGCAGCATTTCAGTCATCAAACTGCTGGCCCAGGTTCTTCTCTAAAACAGATAGCAAGGGAATTTGTACAAGAAACTAAGACTTGTAGCTTGAGAGCTAAAGAGAATTATACATCTCTGTGTAACATGCTCTCTAAGCAACTATAGGTTCCAGAGTCCCTTAGCTTCTGCTAGCATTTCCATTGCAGAAGCAAGAGGAGCCAATAGGATGGGGCTGCAGGATACAAAGACAAGAATCATCATAAATCGGGAAGCAGCGTCCCACAAAATAGTATGAAAGAATTGCATTCTACAATTAGATTCAGTGAGTATTTCCTTATATACTGTTTCCTGATATGAGAAAATTACATCAGCAAATTAAGAATGTCAAATCCATATCTTCTGATTTCCTTTTGGCTTGAGAACAAACAGTATCTGAAGCAACCTATATTTGTTTCATAGTGATTGTGGTATTTGTGAGCTAAAGTTTATCTAGGCGTTCACTTGAGATGTGATAGCAACTAACTGCATGCAACACTGACAAGGCAATAGACGGAAATAATACAAGCTGCAGCTGTTGCCTTCAATACCATATATAGGCTGTAAGTAATGGGAACAGATATCAAGCATTTGAGCTATGTCTGAACCACTTCTGTCTGGGGGAGGAGGGAAAGGGATGAAATGCACAAATGATTATCCTAGGAATATATTACATTGTTGTCCTGGTTTTACAATAATTAAATATCAGCCTCACTAACATGATGTTAATTAAATTATAGTTTGATATTAATAGTTTGAAAACTCCCACTACAGAAATAGTTCCTTTTTTCTGTTACAAGTCTTTTTCTTCCCACCTGCTTTTGAGTCATACCACACACAGGATTTCATGTGTCAGAAGAATGGGGTTTTAATTTATAAAGAACACATAAAATCCTGTTAATAAACTTTTGTAAGGTTGTAAAGAAGCATTTCGTTCATAGAAGCATAAATATTTCACTTTCTAATTTGTCATCTCTAAGTAAG